TTGCTGCTATCACAACTGTTCCGAAAATCAGCAGCAATTTCGGCGGAGGAAGTGAGATTTATGTGAAAAGCAGAGGAAATTAAGAACAGAAAGAGTATTGAAAATCCCATTTTTGCCTAAAAAAGGAGTAAATATATTTTACTCTGTTCAATTTCAGGCTAAATTTGGTAATGGGAGAAGAGGCAAATAAGCCCTTTAAATTAATTGGTATATGAAAGAAGAGTCGTGTAGTCTGGATCAGGTCATCCAATTCACACCATCCCTGAAATTTCCACAACGCCGCCTTTGAGTCGTGAAGACTGGGGCTACTCGTCATTGGGTTTTCTTCCTCCTTTTTTTTTTTTTTTTTTGAAAATAGGCAATGGATATTGGGTCTTATGCCAATGGGCCATGGTATAAGGATCATCCAAACATCCAAACATCCAACCAGGCCGGATGGGGAAAGGTCCCTATTGCTTTGTGTATTTTTCCTCAAGTTTCTACGAGTATTAGTTTTTACTTTTATTTTTTAAGGTCCTATTAATTTTTAATTTTATTTTTAAGAACAGAAAGAATTTTGATATTAGAAAACTTACGAGAAAATTGTGAAATGGAAAACACATTGAAAAAGTGAGGACAATTTTTTTCATTTAAAAATAAAAATGTACAACAAAAAAAATTATTTATCAAGAATTATGTTAGAGAATTACCAAAATATATATTAGAGAAAATTAAAATTAAACTGTTTAGGTTTATTTTCCTTTTTGGTCCTTAAATGTTTGTACCGAATTGATTCCTAAACTCGCATTGACACGTGGGCCGTATTGTTAAGTTGGGGAAATTTTTTCCACGTCAGCTTCTTTCCCTCGTATCAATTACTTCCTGTCCGATAATAACAATTTATTTTAACTTTTTCGTTAAATTAAATATTTATAAGTTATTTATTTATTTATTTATATTATTGTTTAAAAAATTTTAAAAATAAAATAAAATTTTATAATAGAATAATTAATTTAAATAAATAAATAATAATAAAATAAAATAAAATAAATATCTATTTATTTTTTAAAAAATAAAAAAATTAATCTGAGACAAGCACAATGTTAAAAACGACAATTCTTTTAAAAACTAATGTTTAATAAATTAAGAAAAAAATATTATATAATTTAAATTATATTATAATGTATAATACTAATTATTGAATAAAGAATAAATCCCTTGATATTAATTAAAGATCCTTTCTATATAATAGTTTTTATTTTATAATAAAGTAGAATTCAAATTATAAAACAAAGTTTTTATAAATTAAATTATAAAAATTTCATAAAATACTAACTTACAAAAATAACCTCTTCTACCTTATCGTTTCTCTTTCTCCTCCCTTCTCTCTCCCCTATTTCCTCCCTCCCATTTTCCCCGATATCTGCTTTGATAATGAAAAATGATTAGTAAATAGTTGGTTTAATACATTTTTAATA